GAGAGAGAGAGAAAGAGAGAGAGTTTATCTCGCAATTATTTGTCTTATTTTCAATGTAGAATTTTGTAGAATTTTCAATGTAGAATTTTTGTTAAAAAATAGAATTATTTTGGACACTTCTCGCATATTTTATCATAGCAGTTTTTATCGATTGCACTTTATTTGAAAAACGATACAGTAGAAACAAGTGAATAAAAAAATATTTGTTTGCTTTCCATATTTTCAACACTATCGCTTCGTTTTCCGATTTATCGTGACGTCCGATTTGTAACACAATACGATAGTTCTCTCTATGATTACAAGATAATGATGACACGAGAATTGTTCGTCGGCGGCTGTAAAGAACGATGATGATCTAACTAATCATTGTGACAACGATAGAGGAGGAAAACAGAAGAATTTTTCCTTCTTCGACTCTGTTCGCGAATCATATTACACAATCAACATCAAGAAATTAATTTAATTATTCTTACCGGGAAGTTCTTATTGGGAAGCTTGGCGTCCCTTTATTACAACATTATTATCGTACAGTGACTGTGATTTCGGAGCCATGATTTCTAATGGACTTAATGATCGCTCGTTGTGATTTTCGCTGAGAAAGATGCGCGTGTCTTTAATAAAATAAAGAAATATGTTCACAAGAAATTTTTCTTTCTCTTGGAATCAGCAAATGCGCATTTCTTTTCTTTCCTCGTTAGAAGAACTACTTGTGATCATCTCCTAAAATTTATGACACTTTCAATTACTTTGACTGCGCGGCGTCTTTGGTATCGTGGGAATAATTTTATATTACGTAATCACAGACCTCCGTACAATTTCTTCGTAATCTTGTGTAATCTAGGATTTTTCTTCTTCTGGAATAATTCAATTTAGTATGACAACATTAATTTTTTAAAGATGGAATCAATATGTTCCTTCTTTTTATATTTTTTCCTCGTATATTAATAAATTATATTAATAAATAGATAAATAAAATAAATAAAAACAATTAAATAAAATTAATTAAAATTAATGTAAGATATTACATTATTTCAATTCTGTTAACGAGATATCTTAATATATGATTTTTGTGTGTTTATAAATCTATATTTAAAAATTATGATTATTTAAAAACTAAAGATAGCACATCTTATAAAGTTATATATTGTGTGTCATCGAAGGTAGATTGTTATTATATGATAAAATCTTATCTCTCTTACTAAAAATACCCGAGTTTTCCCCTTATTTCTTATCGTCATTATATCGTCGATCGGAGAATAATTTGCGTGAAGAAAACCAATGAACTTCGAAAAATCACAGAGATAAGAAATACGTTTTATCGAATATCCATAAACGTAACCATAGCATTGCTTATTACACATTGCTAAGTTTTTCTATCTCGTTATTGTTCCGCTCAATCAATTGATATATTTCCTCGGGCAAATAAAATTTTCTTCTTGCCCGCTTATTAGCCATATTATCGATTCGATGAAAGTTAGAGAGTATTATTGTAAAAATTCTTATTGAATATTGTAGTTTGGAATTTATTGCGCGTGAATCGGATATGGGCGAAGGTGTCGGAAGGAACCGAGTTCGAATTTTTACAAAGTGTCTTTTATTCTTGCTTGAGCTACACGTCCGTTCGCGTCGGTCGAATTCCTCTCTATCTGTTCATTATTTCGAATCAGCTCGCCTTCGCTTTCTCCTTCGAGATCTTTCTTTTGACAATAAATAGCTTAGTTCTGACAAACAAAATATCTAAAGTTCTAATAACAAGTTTTTAATAACAATCCATATTGAAGGAGAAAGCGGAACCTATTTGTTATTGTTATTTGTCTTGGGTCGTTAAACGTTTAAATTATGTTATAAAGAAAAATAGCGTTAGACATTACAAAGGTAATAATAATTAATACAATGGTAAAATGTATGATAAAAATGAAAAGAAATTAAAACCCAAGAATATCTACTCTAATGAGCTGATTCGAATGGCAATGCATGCAACGATGTAATCGCCACAGTAGTAAAATTCGCGAGATTGAATATGAAGGGATATTTTATTTTAATCTCTCTCTTTTTTTCCACTAAGTCATCTTTAAAAAACTAATAGTTATTGAAAAAGATTCAGACCAAACTTACTTTGGAATTAAAATAACTTTGATCTAAAACATATTTTCAATAATTTTCACTTTCGAGATTAAAAACATAGAAAAAATAAAATAGGACACTCTATATATGTAGATTTACAATAAAACTGGTAAACTGAAACTGCGAAAATATAATACATAACAATCCGCAAGCTCTGTTATCTTGTTTTCGTGTGTAATCGAGCTTGTAACATAATTTTCCACTTGTTTTGCCATTCAATTTATACAGACAGTAATAATTTCATGGTAATATAATTATGGTTGATCCCAATATATTATAAACAATCGAAACGGGCATGATGAAAATTA